TCTTGTTTTCTGTCTCTCTGTCTCTCTCTGTCTTTCTGACAAGCGCACGTGCCCTATAGCAAAAAAACAAGAAAGAAAGAAAGAAAGAACCCCTTTCCCTCTCAGAAACTGGATATACAAGCATGAGCCCAGGGACATAATGTGGGTTAAAAATTGAAAAAAATCACTACTGCCCACCTGGTTGGGGGCATATATTGTAATGTTTCTTACCCCCACTGCAGCTAAGGTTGCAGGACTGTCCCCATGGATCCATCAGTCACGAATGAAGTGAGCTGCAGCATGAGTGGAACCTGGGACCTGGATGGTGCTAAGCCACCCTGAGCAGCTGAATAAGGTGACCTTCAAGAAGACCAAGACCTGTCATCAGGACTACAGCCCTGCTGTAGTCACTCCTGGGCTGACTGTTCTATGCATGGTGGAAGCTTGAAGAGTCTACAACCCTGTTTTGGTCACTCTCAATGCTAACCAATCTACAACCAGCAGAAGCTTGAGGACAGCGATGGATGACACCCCTACAATACCCTTACAACCTTCTGCCTTGAAACCATGAAATAGCAACTGCTTGTCACTGCCCCATTACAGCTATGTTTACTGCCCTCCTGTTAATTGACCTTCCTTGAGTATGGTTGAGGAGGCTCAAGAGGGGGGAATGATATGGAGCACCCTGGAATTTGTGAGGAACTTTGAAGCAACCCAGAGCTGATAGCAGCCTGAGTTTCTGTTCCTCCATGAGCTAGATGCCCTTCCCCTTAACTGTTGAGCAGCTGGAGGTCTTGAGCAGGTTGAATTCCCTGCTTCTCTGCCAGCTCTGTATTAGGGCAGACACTGAGACTCTTCTCTGATAAGACACTCCAAGCATGCTGAAACTGCCCCTCCCCAATTCACCCATAAAAGTTGGTGTCTAGCCCTCAGTTGTGGCGGAGATTCAGAATGTTAACTTCTCTGTGCCTGCCAGTGTAATAAACAGTTCTATCTCTCTGGATGCTGTATTCCATTCCTTGGCATCTGGTTTTCTGCAACAATATATACTATGTATGTAACTTAGCCATAAGAAATAGTCCCTATCATTTTATTCCAAGCGAATGAATATAGAGTATTTAATATTAAGCAAAGTGAGTCAGACTTAGACCTGGAGACTTGAAAAACATCTTGGGCACCTGTGTGTATATGCCCCAAATCCCAGCAGGATGGAGAAATGGAGGAAAAGGAATTATGCGACCATGTCTCCCATTGGGAGTACTTTTTCTTTGCCTCTCCTTCTCCAGTGAATACATGCATCCTCTGACAAATTCTTTTTTTAAAAAAATTTCATCTGTGTTTATTTTTACATTTTTTTCACAAACATTTGATTTATGTATCAAAAAATTTTTGCTCAGACTCCATAGTTCTTGACACTTAATAACTTGAAAATTTCAAAATACTGAATTTTAAAAATAATGTTCAAAATATTTCTTATAATTTTATATAATTTTGTTTGTGACTATAACAATGGAAACAGTGTGGTTTTAAATATTTTTGAGAAAATATTTACATGTCAACTACTCAAATTGTTTAAAAGCAAATGCCCAGCACACTAGTCACACATAAACCCTTTCAATTCAGCCCTGCCTACCAAATATTCTGTGATATACCATCTTCTAGCAAAGATCAGTCTCTTTTTCTTCCTTCAAAGTCTTTCTCAAGATAATCCTCTGGTGTAGCTGCCCTTTTGCAATCTCTACTGATTACAATGCTAGGCTGGAAAAGTCCAGGTTATTTTATGTTATAAATTCTTTCATATGTCTTCTCTAATCCTCTCTGCCAGGCAGCACTATTTACGGTTCCAGGCCATCTTTCTAAGAGCTTCAGTTGGCTTACTTAAGATCCACCTTAGTTCTACAGCTTTCTTTTTTTTTATTTA